CTCGGCTGCTGTGCTCTCGGCATGTACTCGGCAGTATTTGTGTACTTAACGTGAAGCGTTCTTCCTCAGTAGGCAAGGCCGTCAGCTCATTTCTATTGAAATAAAAAGCGAAAAGAACTCGCTGCGCACCAGCCAAAGCTGAAATTCAAGGAATGCACTCTGGGAAGGGGAACTTGCGCTGAGAGGCTGTCGCTTAGACGCAAAGAACTCCAGCTGGCAGGAGATGCCCAGCCAGCGGCCGGCGGGCCAGGTGGGGCGGGCCAGGTGGGTGAGGCCAGCAGCCGGGCTCGCTGCTTAGGACGTACGTTTCTGGGGTGCACGGCCCACACCGTCAATCAATCATTACCTACCCACACTCGTGTCAGTCAGACCAGAGCTGGCTTTTTCAGCTGTTAACAGTTTTACATTTGTGAGTACAAAAAAAAAAACAACCTGGTAATTTTTACCTGGTCAGAAATGAAATGAAGACCTCGGACTTCTTAGGTAACACAAAACAGCCCTTTTTCTGTCCCCCAAGGTGCTGTCTTCGCCCATCTGACGACGCACGTGCGTCACTGCTGTTTACAGGGAAGTTAAAGGCTCAGCGAGGTATGGCGTTACCTTGCCCTCGTTCAAAGGGTTTTGCCCCCAAATGCCCTCTGCCCTGAAAGCTGGCCGCCAGTGGGCCTCATGGGGGCTGAGACATGCGGGCAGGGAGATGGGACCCGGTTTGCCCCACGGAGCGCAGAAGGACCTCGGAGAGTCAGCGGTGGCTTTGTTCCAGAAACTGAGTGTTTTGTGTCTGCAGTTCCTCCAGAAACACCCGCTGAGCTGCGTCCCCGCAGACACAGCCCAAAAGCCTCGGCCTTGTCGGGGCGCCTCCTGTCCAGAGACTGTTTGTGTGGCCTGCTGACCCTCTAGGCTGAGTGCGGACAAGGCCCGGGAGGGTGGGGCTCTGAGGGGGGTCCTGCCATGCCCTCCCACGTGTGACTGCCTCGCGCGCGCCGTCACCAGGAAGCGGGCCCCGGGGGAGAGCCATGCGCCCCTCCCTGCTGTGGACCGTCTCTGACCCTGGAGTGTCTGAAGGCGCTGTCACCACGTTCTGGAGGACAGGAGGCCTAAAATCCAGGTGTCTGTGGGGCTTGTGCCTTCTGGAGGCCCCGGCGGGGATGCTGTTTCCAGGCCTTTTCCAGCTCCTGGGTGACGCCCACGTTCCTCAGCTCAGGCCCCTTCCTGGCATCCCTGCCACCGCAGCATGTGTCATCACAGCTCCTTCTCCGACTCTGACCCTCCCGCCTCCCTCACATAAGGCCCGTGTGATGATATCGGTGCCACCCAGACCATCAGGAGCAACTCTCCCGAGTGCTAGTCACACCTGAGGGCCGCGTGCCGCCCTAGGGCCAGCCTCAGCTTCCTCCCTTTGTGTTCACCCGGCGAGGGCACCCATTGGTGCCTGCCAGGGTTTGGGCCCTTGCAGGTCCAGGAGGGAACAGCCTGCAGAGAGCCTGCCTGGAGGGGGGGCGATCACTGTGGCTGAGTGGTGGCCTCCCAAACGTACGTCCACACGGAACTTGCGGACGTGGCCTTGTTTTGGGAAAGGGTCTTTGCGGATGTCGTCATTTAAGGATTTTGAGACGCCATCCTGGATGAAGGTGGGCCCTGAGTCCAGTGACTTGTGTCATCTCAGAGAAAGGAGAGGACAGAGGCAGAGCTGGGGTGATGTGCTACGACCAGGAGCTCCGAGGACTGTGCGCCCCCAGGAGCGGGAGAGGCCAGGCCGGGTTGTCCCTCACGGCCTCGGAGGGAAGCAGCCCTGCCGGCTCCAGACCCGGAAGAAAATAGATCCCTGTTGTCTGAAGCAGTTACTTCGCTCGGGCAGCCTGGAAAACTCACGCAGCGGGAAAGACGTCCGCAGACTGGCGCGTGCTGTAGGGCGGGTGGGTGCTGAGCCCTGGGGGAGACGCCACGCGGGGCTGGAGGAAGCCAGGAGGTGGCCCAGGAGGGGTGGGGAAGTTGTCTCTGGAGCTGGGGCTGGAACATGAGAGGAGAATGTTCTACACAGAACAGCAGCACAGAGGCCTGGGCGGCCGTGTGTCCTCAGAAACCACGGGCGGTCACAGCGGGGCATGTGAGGGGCGGGCAGGGCAGCCCGGCCCCAGGACCCCGCGTTTGGACTCAGCACCGGGAGGGGGGGGGGAGGGGAGGTTTGCGCGTTTACAGTGGAGCCGGTACTCTGCTCTTCCTGGTGACACTGTTCCTCCCACTCTCCCAGTCACTTGAGATGCGCCTCTGGCCTTGTCCACGCCCTGGGGTGGGGACGGTGTCTTGTTTGTCTTGGCACGGCACGCGGGGGCGTGTT